GCTTCTCCGCCTCCACGTAGTGCGCCTTCAACCACAGTTGCTGCAGCTTGGGGTGGTTGTGAGGCGAGAACTGGTGGCTCTCCAAGATCTTGTAGAGCTCGCGGAAGTTCCCGCGGTGGAAGGCGACCACGGCCTTGGCCTTGAGCACACTCTCGTTCTTGTGCAGGTGGTCGCAGGCGGGCAGCGACCACAGGAACCTGCCCAGGCGCTCCAGGTTCCCACCTTGCTGCAGAACCTCGCACACGCACGCCACTTGCTCCTGCGTAAAGCCGAACGACGGCAGCATCGACATGGCTGGGGCCTGCCGGGGCGCACTGCCCGGGCGCACGCGGCAGGGAACGGAGCCGAAAATGCAGGGGGCGGCGGCCGCAGGGAGGGGGGCGCGGCTGCTCCTAACCCCCTTCCTAGGCTTTCCCTGGCCGAAAAAATAAGTCGAGATTTGGGGATGGGCGAACCAAGAGAAAGAGCAGGACGAGGAGTGGAGCGCGTGCAGGACACCGAGTGGTCGGCTCGCTCCGCAGCCTTTCGGGCCCAGCTGGCTCCAGCCTTCCGCCGGGTGGATGCTGCTCGTTGCCGGGGAACTTGGTTTCTGTTCTCCCGGCAGCTGCCTTAAAGCGCGCAGCGTCCCCAGCGCGCTGATTGGCTGCGGGAGGCGCCTATCCGCGTCGGGCCAGCCCGCGCGCCGCCGGGCCAGGCCGGGAGGCCGCGCCACCCTGCGCAGGGAGGGCGAGGCTGTGGAGTGGGGGATTGGGAGTGGTGAGAGCAGAAGGACCCGGAGAGGTGGGAAGCGAGGTGGAGGGCGGGGGGAGGAGGGAGCCGTGCTGCCGGGGAGCGGGAGGGAGGTGGGGTGGGTGATCGCGTCAGGACCCTGCAATGTGAGCCCCCTCTGCAGTGTCACCTAAGGGCAGCCGCGCACATCTCTGCGCAAATCAATGACTCCAGACCTTCTAATTCTCCTCCTCTCCCTCCATACCCCTGTCCCTTGCAGACGTGCCCTTTCCCGGTGAGCTCATATTTAATTACCTTAATGTTGGAATGAATAAATAATGGGTTGATGAATAGCTTATGGAACGAGGTAAATAATACAAGAGCAGCCTAGAGCTCTGGGCTGCAGCCGCTGAAGAGTGGCTTCTCTCCGGGCTGGCTTCAGCTCCAGAAGCCAAACCTAATTTCCTCCTCCCTTCTCCGCCCCTCGCCCCCACCACCCTCCAAAGCGCAAGTGTACTCCCTGCAGGATAGCGCTTCCCTCGTTGTCAGAAGCCCGAGACTATTTGGGGCTGGGCGAAGAGCTGTTCAGAGCATAGTTGCAGAGCAGAGAAAGATTCAGAGGGTTCATTTGTGATTTGATTGATGTTCTATGGTTTAAGCCTTCAAGCTTCTGGACTCCGTTTCCCCATCCGCGCGGCTGCGTTTCCCAAGGCCACCTCTGCTACTGCGGAATGCCCAGAAGCTTTACTTGCTGTTAGCAAAAATGCTTGGAGAACCTCGTATGAAAGCCGCTGGATGGGGTGTAAATTAAATAAAACTGGTCCGGCTCCAATAGCCGTCCGATTGTAACATAATCCTTACCCTGCACTGAGAGACACTTCCCTCAAAGCAAGGAGGATAGCAGCTCCTAGAAGATTGAATAAAGAGGGGTGTGTGTGTGTGTAGATTGCAATGCTGGCCCATTTTACTGCCAGGGAATGAGAGATGTCCTGCAATTTCAGTCCCATCATCTGTTATTTTGTGTGTGTGGAGAATGCTTAGTAAAACTGCACAAACAAATGAAGCTGTAATTATCTTAAGCCTCATTTGCACACCTTGTTCCAAAGCAATTACTAAAAAGATTTTGAAAACAATTAGCGTCTCTAAACAAAGATAATCTATTGTCAGTAGCTGAGACTGGCAGAAGATAAGAACAATGCTTCGGAGATAAGGGGAGCCAAATGGTGGAAAGAGAGTGACTTTATGACTATACTTATCTCTGATTAGATAAGTTCAAAACAGAATTGTAAGTATACTTCAAAAATGCTTTTGATTTAAATGCACCCTCTTAGTGAATGCAAAGAACTGGCTTGAGGCTCTTTAAACTTGCTAGCCTTCTTTAAATGTTTTGATTCTAACAGCCAAAGCCCTGCTCTACAGAACCCTTTGCATATTGACACATAAGTGGGAGACGGAGAAGCGTTGTGTTGTGTGGGTTTCCCCTTGTATTATTTATGATTATAAAATAATGCACTCAGTCCAGGGTACCCTGTAATGTACATTTTAAACTCATGAAGGGTTTCCACCTCCTTGGCTGCCTCTCCAGAGATTCCAAAAAGAGAGAAGCTACTTTTCCGCTGAACTCCCCACACAATGCTTTTTGCATCCTTGAAACTCTGCAGTATCGCATGCAATTAGACCTTGGAAACAGATGCTGATATTTCGTTACCTTTAGAATTATTTTTAAGTGCATTTAATGGGTGCATATTATTTCAAAAGAGCCCCTACCGTATGGTGTACCCAATGACTTACTTTCTAAACTGGAAGCCTGGCATGGCTAACCCAAGCCCATGTGTCGGGTAATTTTCCCTCACAGTCTTATTTTAGTACTCCTGGTGTTTCAGATGAAGTCTTAAGGAGCTGCAGTGTCCTGCCAGAAGGAATGTCTCTGCTTGGAACAGTTCTTATTGACATGGCAGCTGTGAGAGGACCGGAACGGAGGTTTAAACTCGGCTCTAAAACTCAGTTAAATACCCCAAAGTCTGGAGCAAGTGTGCAAAATTACAATACGTGTGGGGCGGGGAGGGAGGGAGGGAGTGCGGGGGGGGGGGGGGTCTCTTAAAAGACAAAGGGTGAGTATGGGGTGTACTTTATAATTAACAATTTTGTATAAGGAAATGAGGCATAGCTTGGACAAATAAGGCAGCTATAAATTTACAGGGGATGACAGGGGGCAGAGAGATGGCAATTAGACATCAATATGACCACTCCCCTCCCTCCCCAGCTTCCTCCAGACCTCCCTGCCCACTTCTTTTCATCTCTCTTCAAAAGGAGCCAGGACGCACCAGACTTTGGCGACAACTGGGAGGATGACAGTGTGGATGCCCTGATTGCAGCGGGCACCAGGCTTGATGAGAAGTGGTGCTCAATCTCAGAGGCCAGCCAGCGGGCCAGCCTTTCTCCTTGCGTTTAATCCAATAGATCGCATAACTAGAAAGAAAGGAAAAGTGCTATTCGCTTTGTACTAAGGACCCTACCTGCTATTTCGATCCCTTGGTTAGGGGAACCAATTGTTATAAATGTTAATTATTGGCTCGGATATATAAGGTTTCCCAAAATGGAACCTTTCACTGAAAACCACTAAAAGAGGTAAAATGACATGAATTTACAAACCACATAAACCAAATGATCCATTTTAAATCGCACACAGAAAGGTTTGAGTTGTTCTAGTAACTTAAAACCGTTGCTGTCAATGCAAATCACAGGAAAAACAGAGATGCGTCGGAGATTTAAAGGGAACGAGCAATTCTAGCTGCTGCCCTAGTCGCATCGTGGCTCCCAAGGGGAAGGCGCTGGAGAGGGGTGCCTGACTCCAGGTTTCAGCTCTTAGATGCCTTCACGCTGCAGGAAACGGTCGGTGCGCACAACTGCTCTAGGGAAGGGCCAAAGCGGAGGCACTACTTGCTGCTGGAGTTTCTGGCTGTGGTGACACGAGGCCTTGGTTCAGAAACCTCTGGCTGGGACACACTTGTTTCCCTTCTGGCTTGGAGAGAGACGCTTTCTTGGAATTCCTTCGCCGTTGAGAACAGCGGGGATCCTACTCTATCTACAGATATTTGGAAGGGAAGGACGTGGGGAGGTGTTTTCTTGAACAAATTAGCGTCGTCGAAGAAGACTCATCAAATCCTGGTTGAAGTGACAACATTCAACTTTTTCCGCTGCTTGTTCGGAAACTCCGGGTACCGTCTACCCTTGGGACTTCGGGCTCCAACGACGGGCCCGGCGCCGGCGCAGCCGCCCACCTGCCTCCTGGGGCAGGCTGCTCCCGGCCAGGTCTGAATAGGCCGAGAGCTCGGGCAGGGCGATTTGCGCACGCGGAGAGGAGAAACCCAAAACCAGTCCATTAGTAAATGAGTTTTGTGTTGTCAAGGTTCTTTCCCATCCACTTGCTGTTCTGAAAAATAGATCACGTTTCCTTATCTTTAGTGGGAATCTGCAACGTGACACCGGATCCGCACGGTCCCCGCCTCCCTCCCTGTCTTCCAGCCGCGCTAGGCCGGCCGAGGGGAGCCGGCCGGCCTCCTCAGCTTATTTCTGAACAATGAAGATTTGTCTGTTCCCTAATATATTTATGTATGTATGGAGGGAGGAAGGGAGTTTTCTCCTGGAAGCGGGAAGCGCGGGAGCAGAGCCTCCAGCTTCCGTGGTGCGAAAACTCAGCGCCAGCCCCAGACGCGGGACCGCTGCTCCCCGCCCACACCTGGACAAACAGAGCTGCGAGCCCCGCTAGCTGCTAAGAACCCTGCCGTCCAGTGCGGCCCGTGAAAATAGTCTCCACATTGTACCGGGGTCGGGGAAAGGAGAGAGAGAAAGACAGGCAGAGACACCGCCGGAGAGAACTTCGATTGTGGGGCAACAGAGCTGGGAGAAGGGTGTTTTTGGAGGAGTTATCCCCTCCCACGTCTGCTCTGTCTATCTGTCTGTCTATCACCTAATTCTCTCTTTCCCATCTAGAAGAGGAAGCTCGCTCATTGTGTGTGAACCTTTCTCATTTTTTATTCTCTTTCAATTTCTCTCTCCATTTCTCCTCTTCTCTCTCTCTCTCTCTCTCTCTCTCTATCTCTCTCTCTCTCTCTCCACACACACACACACACACACACACACACACACACACACACACACATACACATTCTCACACTCACACCACTCACACAGTCCCTCTCCTCTCCCTGTTTCTCTTTATTTCTCTCTCTGCGTTCGTTCTCCTCCTTTCCGCGTGGCTCTGGGCCCTGCTCGGTTTCTTTCAGCCCGGGACCAGGCACTGTGAGGTTACACAGACATCATGCTGATGTCCGGCATCAAGGTGTCTTTGAAGTCTGGGCTGGGGTGTGGGCTCAGTCCAGGGACCCGGCCACACTGAATGGTGGCCTCGTCAAGGTAGAGCGGAAGGAAATGGGTTGGCCACCTGGGGGGACACTGCGGCCATGCTCTGAGGAGCCTCGGGCCCAGGGACTCGCCAACCTGCCAGATTTGAGCCTGAAGATGCCAGTCAATATCAGATGCCAAACACCTTTCTGGAAAGCAAAGGGCAGTGTTATAAGAATCCATTTTTTAAGAATTTAAGACACTCTTGCCCCCTTCCCTTTATTAGTATTGCCTTAGGGCAAGTTTACAGAAAGGTACTCTTATCTTCCATTGAGTTTCCAATCAGTTTTTCTTTTCCCCTCAACTAATGTACATCCTGAATACCGCATCTGTCTAAGCTAAGAAGAATTTCCTTTTGGGAGGTGGAAGCCTGCAGCGCCTCCTGTTCAGAGGAAAGTGCTAGTGACAGTAATGCAGGGTGACACTAAATAAACAGTTAGGGTGGACTGGAAAGATGGAGTTAATTATCCAGTGAGCTGCGTCGCAGCCCAGACCATCAGGGGCTGATTTGTTTTGGCTCATAGTCCGAGGAAGGAGACAAACCACTCTCTTCTCTACATCTCTTAGGGATCCTGATCGTTGGTTTCTCAAACAAAACAAAAACCAAAAACCACTACTCAGGTATCACTGTTTCAATTAAAATTTGGTTTATTACTCCTTTGCAGACTCTGCAAAAATGCCCATTCCATTGCCCCATAGCCCTGCAGGGAAGACCCAAAGTGACCCAAAAATGCACTCCCAGAATCTTTTTTTCAGAGGCCTATTGGTAAGGAAAGATCCAAAAACCTCCCCATCCCTTCCCTTGGGTTTTTGCAATAAGTTTATATAACTGCGTGTTTATAAAAACTAAGATGTTAACCTAGTTTTCACGATGGTTTTCCTGCCCGCCCCCTTCCCCAAAAAATCAGGCTTCATGAAATTTTAGATGCAATTAGATTTATTGCTTTCGTGATTCACTGACTATCCGGTTTCTTCAGGTAAGCCTGCACTTAACATATAAATCCTAGTAACTTAAAACGTCTCCCTCCCCACTTTGCTCTTCCCTCTCTCCTTCCCTCCCTCACGCCCCCACCGCGCCACATTCTGATATTAATAATCCCCGGCTGCCCCTCTTTCCGGGTCATTACGGTACTGCTGGTCTCTAATCAATCCTAATGCGATGGCAATTGGAGTCCCTGATGACTGCGGCTCGGGTTTCTTGTAATGGCTCTACCACATTTTCCTGGACCTCCTTCTTTAACCTGAGATGCCAGGGGGACGAGTCCCTTCTCTGCTGCTGATTACTTCAAGATGTGGGGGCTGGTTCGAGCAGAAGGAGAAAGAGACACATGCACAGCTTGGCTACTGCTGCGGGCTGGGCGGCTGGGGAGAGCAAGGCGTCCACGCGGCCAGCACCCGCACCCGACCGTCTTTCGCTTCTCTCTCTCAATCTCTCTCAATCTCTCTCTCTCTCTCCTCTCTCTCTCTCTCTCTCTCTCTCTCTCTCTCTCTCTCTCTCTCTCTCTCTCTCCTTTTCTCCCCATTTTCCAGGCCCCATCCCAGGCAAGCAGACGCAGATTCTTAGCGCACTTTCCCCCCTGGTGCAGAGATGCCTCGTGGTCTCTCGGCCTCCCCAGTTCTCTCGGGCTCCAACCCCAAGGCGTCCGTCCGGACTCCCAGACCTAGCTAGGCCTCTCCCCATTCCTCCGAGCCGGCTCCTCTTTTGGGTTCTTTTCTCCCCGTACCACCCACCCTCCGCAGTTGCAGGGTAGCTGTCACCGAATTACCCCGCAGGGCTTGATGCTCCCAACTAGCTCCTGACCCAACGCCGGGGCCACAAGCGTGGCCGGGTCGTTTCTGGATGTGACCACTTCTTTCCCGACCTTTAGGGACAAAGGCCCGGCACTCCCTTCTGCTACTGCCTTCAGGAGAGGGGCCTGGGAGTGGGGACGTGCGCCGCCCCTCCCTCACCCCGGCCGGCCGCAATCTTCTCGCTTACTTCCTACCCGCGGCGCAGGCCCCGCAGCGAGGCGATCGGCACGTTCGCCGCATTTGTATTGTTGCATGTCTCAGGCTAACGCCATTTAGCGTAACCCGAGCCCAGGATAATTGCCACGTTTCTGCCGCGATACTTTTAAAAACAAGATAATGCTTCTGAATTGCGGAAGAAAGTGCTTCAGACAAATTGGGCGAGGAGCTGACGAGATGGATCGCTTTGTTAGGGGCGGCGGGTGGTTTGTGACTCAATTAGTGAGTTTCTGGGAGCCGCCTGGGCTCCGCAGCCGGGTCAGCTGGAGGCGAACTCCCCCTGTGGCTCCGAGGCAGCCGGGAGGGGTTGGGGTTGGGGTTGGGGGTAGGGGTGGGTGGGAACACTTCAGGCCTGCACCGATGTCGAGGCAAACCCACGCTATGGGGAATGTGTTTTCATTCCCATTCGAGTACATTGTTTGGGTCCTAAAGGATCCAGGTTTTTCGCGGACAGAAGCTGGGCTGCCTCTGCGTCCGACTGGGCCACGCGGCATTTGTCTGAAGCACCAGTCCTCTGAGCTGTGGGGAAAGACACCCCGGGTGGACAGTGCTGGGAAGGTGCCCACTCACCCATGCCTCTCCGCACGCCTGGCCCACCCGCCTGAGCTGGGCTCTGTACCAGCGTTCCCAATGCCGCCGCGGTACGGGGCGCAGCCCTCCTGGTGAGGCTTCCCGGCAGCCGGAGCGCGAGGGGCGCTTTGGGGGCTGCGCAAGGCCTGACGAGTTGTCCTGGCCTCTCCTGCAGTCCACCCGCCACCCCCACCTATCAGCCCGCATGCAAGCCCGGGACCACCTTTCGCAGGTCCATCCTGTGGTCCCGGGTACGTCGCTGTGCCAGGTGCGCGCGCGAGGCCAAGTCCCCGCGCCAGAGCCGGGGTGAGCTCGCGGCCCCGCCCCCAGCGGGCTGTGCCCAGCCCGGGGCAGCCAGGCCTCACCCCACGCCCGGTCGCCGCACCAGGAATCCCTCCTGGGGGCCGCTCTGGAGCTCTCCGGTGCCGCGTCTGCGCCGGGGACGGCTCCGCCCAACCCTGCAGCCAGCGGTCCGCGGCCCGGCCGGCCCGGCCCCGGGATCCGGACTTGAGCAGGCTTCGGACCCCGCCGCCCTCTCGGCCTGTTCCCCGGGGCTGTTATTGGGGCGCGAGGAAGGAGGGGACAGGGCGGGGGAGGGCGGGGGCGAGAACGCGGCTCTGAGAGGTCAGCGGAGCCGGGCGGGGAGACGCAGGCCCGCGGCAGGAGCGTCTGGAGGAGAGAGGGCGCTGTCCCCCTGGCCAAGGATTCTGATCGACTGGAACTGAAACAAAACAAAACAAAAAGAAGAGAAAATCTTCCCGGTAGAGCCTCCCGAGTGAAGGGCGCGCGGCGGCTCGGGACTAGGATGGCCCGCGGATCCTCAGCCCACAGCCTGGGAAGCGCTTGCCCCGCCGCGGCCTGGCCGGCACCGCGTAGCCCCGTGGGTCTCGCATGAAGGGAACCTGCTTTAGCCCCTTTATCTCTCCCCATAGTCGCCTTTCTTCAGGGCCATCCCTCCGTCGCTTTCTCCCTCGGAGAACTGGGGGCACGGCGGGAAGGTTGGCGGCGCACCCCGGGCGACCGAGGTGCTCCCCTTTTGCCCCAGGCGAGCGGGAGGGGAGTTGGAATCCCAACACCCTTTCCGGGAGCGAAGCCCTCTTTTTCAGTTTCCTGCGGAAGGAAACTGCGACGCCAGCCAGTGTTGTTTTGATTTGTTTTGTTTTGTTTTCACATCCAAGCACCGAAGCAGGTGGCCTCACCTGGTTTGGCGGCACTTTGCCCAGGAACAACAAAAGGATAGAAAACCCTCTTATTTACTGTCACCAACTGGCCGGAGCGGACACTCGGAGACCAGAGGGTCCCGAAGACTATCAACTATTCCCCATCCAAACAAACGAATCTAAAAACTGAATGTATATTAATTCAGGAGAAACTGCTATGCCTCCGTTCCAAAAGCACATACTACTCTGTCATCTACAAAGGATAATGTGTTCTTGTCTTTCCATGCTTATAATAAACCAGGCAAAGCAGAACAAAAGGAGCCCAAACTCACTCATCGTCTGTCGTGAAAGGTCCCTCTGTATCAACGCACGTAGGTAAAGGCCCTCCTGGTTTGTAAATAGATACTGGGCCCGACCACCTCCTCCCAGGTCGGCCACCTGAGAGTCTCAAGCCCCAGTCTCCATGGGAATTTCCTGGAGAGTCGTGACTCTTCCCTCGCCCTTTCAGCAGAATCCAGGTGGCCCTGCAGTTCCGCCTTCGGCAAGAGAGCTATTTCCTAGGAGTAACTGGGTGGGCTTCAATCCGCCTGCCTTTTCACATTGAGAAACGCTTCTCTTGTGGGAACGTCTGTTTCTATTCATCCGATTTTGTAATTTCTTTGATCAGCCTAAATATTTTCTTGGCAAACGGAAATTGACCATGCCATGAATATGATAACAACCTGCTTGGAGAAAAAGCTATTTTGTTTCCAAGCAGCAGAAAAGAAAGGGGTGGGGGTGGGGAGGAGCTGGCTGGTAGGAATGCCTGTAACAGATTCCGTACATACATCGTTTTGCCGTCTCTAAAGCAGCTTTATGAAAGCTGCCTTTCCCTCCTAATACGGTTTCTTCCCCTTCTCTCCTCCCCTCAGATAAACACACACCTGGTTTCCTAAAAGTCTTTGATTCTCTTTATAAAAAAAAAAAAAATTAGAACTTCAATGGATGCCTCTGGAGAATTTCCCTTTAAAACATAGATGAAAGGCAAGGTTAATACAATGTTCTCTTAATCCCTTTGCCTTCTGAGTCAAAATAAATATTTTCTTCTGCATGTGATTGTACATCCTGCCATTTGGCTGTGGCTATAAGCAAGTCGACTGGTAATAAAAGAGTTTTGAGGCTGTGTATTAAATGCAGTTCTCTTGAAATCAAGGGGGGTGGGGTGTGGGGGGGTGTCTTACTTCACAGGCAAGAGTTGGTGGGTTTCTGAAAAAGCTGCAAGAAAAGGACCTTTCACCTCTCATTAGTGATGCCATCAGTGCTCCGGCAGAGTGGAGCTGAGGTCATGTTACATATGGCACACAGTCTGCTCAGCACTTGAAACGTCAGCTTTGAAATTTTAGAGAGGGGAAAGGTCATCTTTAATAAGCTAAAGTCTGGGGCTCCCATTGCCCTCATTGCAAACTGGGTGGGTGTCCATATGCTTCAAACCTTCTGGATAAGTTTTTTTTTTTTTTTTTTTTTTTAATTTGCAGTTTTAAGCTGATTTTTGTTTCACATCTTCATTGAAGCTGTAATGTTTTCAGCTGTTAATACTCCAAAGGCCTTTCATTTTTATAGCAACTCTGTCATCTTTCCTTTTCTTTTCATGCAATCGTAAAATGGCCTGTTCTGAGTGATAGCTTTTTAGAACTCAGCTTCCCAGGAGAAATGAAGTGTATCTGTCCATCTGCACACATGGATCCAGACATGTGGGCCATAAGGTCACCCTTCTGAGTGGGTAATTTAGACTTCACTCTTGTACACTACATAATTTACTGATCCTTCAAAACATTAAAATTTTCATATTATGGAAAAGCTCTAGTTTCTGAAAACTTCCTGAGTACTACTAAAAATTTTTTCATGCCAGTTACTGAAATTTCGCATTTTATTTTTACCACGTGGAGGGAACTCTCAAATCAAAATACATTGATTCTTCCATAAAGCTTCAAGTTAAGGCTAACTGACAATGCTATAATGGTAGATACAACACTGGGGTGGGGGGAGTGCTAATATCTCACTTCCTTGTTCACAAAATATTAGGAAAATTTGTAAATGTTTAATCCTCAAATTTGTTCAAAAAATGAAGTCAACCAAACCCAAGCTGCTGAACTATCCCTAGACCTCTTTTTAGCCACTGTCAAGATGGATATAAATATTTTTCTTTCATGAAACTCTGCAAGGAAATTCTCAGTAGTGATTTGTCATTTACTCAGTTCCAGAAACTTTTTTTCCCATATGGATCTACTGTCCAAGAGGAGCAGCCTCACCAAACCTGACATGCATTCCTTCCTTATTTTTCTTTACATCTGTCAACCCATTTTACCTCTTTATCATATATCCCAGATTTTAGTTGTTTCTTCTTTTACATAAAAGTTACATATTTTGTCCCTGTAAAATGAACTTTAGAAAACATGGCAATTGTGTATGATAATCATTTTCAAACAGTTAACTCAATGATATTTAAAAACTCCTTCTCCCCTGCAAATTGAAAACATTGGAACAATCTTCAAACATCCTCTGTAGCCAGCTAGGGGTTCCTCATTACTAAAGGACTTAATGATTGTAATATGCAGATAGGTGTTGGTTTTATTTCTAGTCAGATTCTCAAAAATCCTTCATTTGGGGTGAGCAAAAATGTAAAATAAAAAACAAAAAACAGTCGGCACAATAGCACTGGAGCTATAGATAGGTAGGATGATTTCACAACCAAGAATGACATCAAATAAATAATTTATTTCTAGTCATTTTCCTACATTAGAGTTTACTGCTAATAAGCTAGTGGACTTTAGATACTTTTAGGCTTTGATGACTCAAATGGTTTAATAAGTCCAATCAATCTAGTCAATACAAAGTCGGGATAAAGATGCAGACACTCTAGTCTTAGGAGTGCATGTATGCTTGGGGGCAGTGGGGGGGTGGGGGAGGTAGTGTTGCTTTGTTTTGTTTTTTGACTAAATTTTAAAGCTCCCCAAAATATTCCAGGAAAATTTAATAGCAGATCGTGCCATTCCAGTAAGTCTGAAAAACAGGAGGTGGAATATTTCAAGAGGCAGGTTCATCATTGACAGGCCGATAATTCATTGAAGGCCTATAAAAGGAATACTAATAATTTACAGGTTTTATAGGATCCCTCACTCAAGAACCTTTAACATTTTACAAGCCTGATCGCATTCATCTTCTTGCAACTTTGGGAGGTATTATACTTATTACAGAGTGATTATCCCTATTACAAAAATATGGCAAAGAGATTGTATAATTTGCCCATGAAATTATAAGTCAGAGGCAGTTTGGAGATAAGAGCTATTTATCCAAGATCCTTTCCAATTTACCTAAAAAGCAATTTTCCATAAAGAGATCAATGATTAAAGTGATTTGGACTCAGTGAGCCCTGATAAAATGTTATTCTCCTTAATTTAGACTCTATAATTCAGGTTCAAGATTGTGATAAATGTCTTTAAATTACCAAGAAAAAGAAAATGTAACATAAAGTGCCTCAGTCTACAAAGGTCTGGTAGTTCTTCCATTCTGGAAATAAGCCATAGTCTTAGTTGGTGCAAATGTCATGTGGGAGGAGCCATACAGATTACAGAACCCTGAGGTAATTACTACAGCTTAACTGTCCCACAGAGAAGCTACTCTGTGTTCATAAACAGGGTTACCATAGAATACAGACTCTATGACAAGATTTGGCCTGTACCTTCAATGCTTACAATTCTTTCTTTGGTTTATTTAGAAGAAGAAATACTAGACATTCCAGAAAATTAAGGATTTGTTTAATCTTGAGGGCAGTGCTTCACGAATTTTAGGGGGCATGCAAATGACCTTAAGCACTTGTAAAAAATGCTGCTAACTGGGCCCTACACCTAGAGATTGTGATTCCCTAGGTTTAAAGTGGGACCCGGGCATCTGCATTTTAACAAGCACCCCAGGTGATTTTAATGCTCGCTGTTACTGGGCTATTCTTTAAGAATAAACCTTTACTCTGCATGAGATAGAAGCATAAAAAAAGAAAGGTTCTATCAGCAGGAATAAAGTTTAAACTCCAAATGTTGACCTAACCAGAATTTACTTTTCTTTATATGATTTTTGAAAGAGGACTTTTAGGTTAGGTTTTTACTAGGAGGGAGGCTGCTGGGTTTCTGAAGAATTTTGTAGGAATTAAAGTGTGTCTAGCTAGTAATTAGGTAGGAAATTATGTGTCCTCCTTAAGTAATTAGATAGGAAATTATTTGTCCTCCTGAATGGCTTAGCAGGGAAGTGACACCAGACCAGGAAAATGAAACAAGAAAGGAAAATCTCTGAAGAAAACCCAAGCACCAGTCACAAAAATTAAGCCTGTGAACCAGGATGTCCTGGTTTGATTCCTGATCAGGGCACATGGGGGATCTCCAGTAGGGGGTGTGCAGGAGGCAGCCGATCAATGATTTCCATCATTGATGTTTCTATCTCTCTCTCGCTCTTCCTTCCTCTCTGAAATCAATAAAAAAATATACTTTTTACAAGTAAGTAAATCTCGTTGGCCAAACAACAGTGCATAGGAGCATGAAGGAAAACAAGGAGCCAGTATTGCCTTCTGAATGCCACTTAAAAAAACCAAACAGTTTTTAGACATCTCTCAATGTGCACAGCCCCTTTAGAATAGTGTAACCCAGTTGAGTCCCCTTCCCCCAAGATTTGCAAGAAATGGAAATGCGCTGGAGAGTTGCCACAATATGATAGAAGGAGTAGAAAATAAAATCTAAGAGGAAGTTACAAGTGGTTTTCTATGCTGCAAATAGTGAGCATTTGTTGCTTATAAAAGTATAGAAAGGGTTTTTACAATAAAGAACACAACCACATAAGTCTCAGCTCCTTGCTTTTAAGAGGGAGATTAAATAATGGAAAAGGGGAAAACAAAGATTATTTTTAAAAAAATAATGAAAAAGTTTCATAATCATAATTTATTCTTTTTTTCTCCCTTTTAAAAAAATGCCATTTGAAAATGAGATCATGGGAATATAGACGCCAGACTCTTCGCTGTTGGAAGAGGCCAAGAAGTTATTAGTTGAACCTGCCACTCTAAGTAGAATCCCTCAGATGAGACAACCCCCAGCTCTGCTTGAACACACATGTATTGGAGAACTCACTACTTCACATCTGTTTTGCATGTTTCAAGACTCACCAAAACCAGAAAGATATTCCTGGTGGTAACAAAATCACATGAAATCCATGATCCTGTATAAACTAGATAAAATGTGAGAGAAACATGGTGGGGATCTCCTAATTACCTGTTGGTCAAGTTAGGAAGTTAGAGTAAACTACTAGCTAAACTGCTTTCTCAAGTTTCCATTTTAGGCATTTCTACTGTTTGCCCACTGCTTGTAGGCTGCTGGAGTTCACTATAGGAGAAGTAAATATTGTCATTTCAAATAAAGAACTGTTTATTATATAACAGAACAGAGGTTGCCTTCTATTTTTGAGACTCTGGTAAGTTAATTGGGGACAGTAGCCACAGCAGCTGCCCAGGAGATGGTGTTTTCCAACAGCTACAGTCCTTAAAGCTAAACTGGGTTCATGTTTGTCTACAAACTGGCAATCACATTGTTCTTTTCATTGAATGTTCTTTGGCTCCAGTTGGGGTTGAGTAAATGGGGACACCATTTGTACTACTTTACCAGCCCATTTGACTCCTGCAGTGAGGGGAGACCATAAGCTGTGCTGGGCCAGCTCAGCCAAGGGTTCGGTGAGCCTAAGTGGGGGCGGCGAATGATGTAGAAAAGACAGACAGAGAGAATAAGCTGGGTCTAGGTGGATCTTCCTGTGCCTGGATGAGGCCACACAGAGAGATCCAGATGGCAAGCTGAGCCTTTATTTTATAGCCAGAGGTAAACAAGGTAGTGGTCACCATAGTTACAATGTTCTTGTGAGTTTCACTTGTTCTGGCAGCACTTGCTACATCTCCCTCAGCCCATTAGTTACCCAGATAAGATCTAGGGAGCGTCATAAGGTCAAGCCTAATTATTCTAAGAGGGCTGTGCCCTCTAAGCTGGGACTTGTTTGTGGCTTTGCCAACAGGTCAGTCCCAGGCTTAACCCTATAGCCACTTCCTACATCTCACCCTTTTTTATTTTTAAGCTACCATAATGAAAGTAAAACTTAAGCACCAAGAACAAAACTCTATTAAAACAATAACAAAACAATGCCAATGCAAAACCCAAACTACAGACATGTTATCATTTTAAAACTTAAACATAAAGCTCTGGCTATTAAAAAAACAATGCCAATGTGTTAACATTTTAAAACTAGTAAGAATAACAAAACAATGCCAATGCAACACAGCAATAAGTGAAAAATCAAACTACAGTAACATTTTCTACTAAATGAAAGTTTCTTTTGCTGATTTACTCAGAGTCCTCGGACTTGGCTGCACAAGACTTTGCAGAAGACTGGCAGCTAACCAATGCTAGCACAGCCAGAAACATGATTGAGGGAGGAGCAGCCACATCTTGCTTTTCTACCATCTGCTGGGCCTCAGTTGTTAACTTCTTCAGCTGACCCCATGTTGACACCTCGGTCCCTTGTGTAGCCTTCGTCATCTTCCTTTTCCGTATTGCTGTCATCGGGGCAACTCTCAATCTTTTGAACAAAGGGACAAGGATCTTCTTTGGGTCCATTGTGGTGACGCACATAATGCTCTGGCCCTCAAATAGACTGCGCTCCTCTGGAAAGATACAAAACACAACCTCTTCCCCACATCATTACTGAATCTGGCAAAACTCTTGTCTGGTTTGCGCATCCTTCCACGGGGGCTTTCGGCTGCTGTACAACCCTCTGCATTGTAATTCAAAAAGTTTAACACATAACATTCTTCTCCCTATTTTTTTGTTTTTGTAATTGCATTTTAAGAGTAGGATTGGCACTTTCCACTATTGCCTGAGTCCTGATCTATCACCCCAGGAAGAACTTGCCAATCCTGTGCTTCCCAGGGTGGCATGATAAAGATTTACTGAGCCGGCTGGAAAGGCTGCAGTGGGGTTAAGGATAAGGCTCCTACTGTTTGGTGGGGCCAGGGTTGGCCCCGTTTGAAGTTTCCCTGCCTAGGGGGCATTGGTTGCCACAGTTAAAGCAGCCCCCTTTCTTTTACTGCTGACCAGCGAGTAACACCTCCTTTAATGCGGCAGCTAATACTGCTCCTTGAATGTAGGCTGGTCCAATGTCAGCACATACACGAATATAATACTTCCATAATAAGTAGTCTCCAGGTGAAAGACAAGCCTTTGCGACAATATTAAGCCTCTGGTAACCTTCCACTATCTGTCTTAGTTCTCCTGCCACATTCATCCATTCCCTTTCAGGAGTGGGCTCTAGGCAGTCCCAAATCAGGGACCACAGACTAAAAGTAAAGAGAGGAATTCTCCCTGGACCTTCAGCTATATAACGATCTCTAAATTGTTTTCCTACCTTCTCCCATGTCTCTACATTTACCTTTCCTTTCTCAGGAAACCATGGGCAGGTTTTACCTACAAAATCCAACAAATCGAAAAGCTGTTCATACCTCACAGAATAGCCCCGTGCTTGGAGCATAGCCTTAAGTATGGATACGTATAATTCTTTTCCTGCGATCCTGAATTTCCCATGTTTTACACCGAGTTATCACTAAACTTCGCTCCTTGCCTTCCTTTTTACTTTCTGCACATGCTTCACTGTAGTGTCCTTTCACCTGACAACTGCAGTTCCCCTGAACTCAGGCCCCAAGTTGAGTGCCACATGTGCTGTGCCATCACAGCCAAGGTTTTGGTGAGCCTGGGGGGGAGGGGGGGTGGCACAGGATGTAGAAAAGACAGACAGAGAGAATAAGCTGAGTCTAGGTGGATCTTCCTGTGCCTGGCTGAGGCCACAGAGGGAGATCCAGACAGCAAGCTGAGCCTTTATTTTATAGCCAGAGGTAAACAAGGTAGTGGTCACCATAGTTACAATGTTCTTGTGAGTTTCACTTGTTCTGGCAACACTTGCTACATCTCCCTCAGCCCATTAGCTACCCAGATAGGATCTAGGGAGAGTCATAAGGTCAAGCCTAGTTATGCTAAGAGGGCTGTGCCCTCTAAGCTGGGCTTGTTTGTGGCTTTGCCAACAGGTCAGTCCAAGGCTTAACCCTATAGCTGCTCCCTACATAAGCCAAGACAGATCAAAGCCAAACCTGATGGCCTGCTACCATTAACAGGATTCAGCCCAGGCTTTTTCCTATGAAAGGGGAAATGTTAACTTAATGCCTATTTCCATCTGAATCAGGGGTCCCAAACTTTTGATAGGTTGGGGACTGAGCTTAGTGAGGAAGGGAGAGGGAGAAAGAGAAACATCAATGATGAGAGAGAATCATTGATTGGCTGTCCCCTACACATCCCCTACTGGGGATCAAATATGCAACCTGGGCATGTGCCTTCGACTAGAATGGAACCGAGGACCTTTCAGTCCACAGGCCGATGTTTTATCCACTGAGCCAAACCAGCTTGGGCTTCAAAGGGTTTCTTACATTTGATTCTCACTTATGAGATGGGTGAGGAGGAATAATATTATAACTCCATTTTACTAATAAAGAAACAGAGATAGAGTGTATAAGTGACTAGATATGTGGTAGAATGGAGGCATAAGACTGAGCTTGCCTATCTTTGTTTACCCAGTTCTTAGTCTCATTTCTAGTAGATGAAAATATATTATGTATCTCAAGCTTTTTAATAGCTATAAAATATTTCATGGATTAAAAAAAAATTATCTAACTGTTCTCTTATTGATGGACATGTCTTTCCCCCCAATCTTTTTCTTTTATAAATAACTAGAGGCCCGGTGCACAAAAATTTGTGCACTCAGGCGTGGGGGGGTCCCTCAGCCCGGCCTGTGCCATCTCGCAGTCTGGGACCCCTCAGGAGATAACGACCTGCTGGCTTAGGCCTGCTCCCAGGTGGCAGAGGGCAGGCCAAATCCCTAGGTGCAGCCCCTGGTCGGGCTCAGAGCAGGGCCGATTGGGGAGTTGGGGCGCCGCCCCCTGTCATGCACAGAGCAGGACGGATTGAGAGGTTGCGATGCCACCCTCAGTCACGCTCAGGGTAGGGCCGATTGGGGAGTTGGGGCGCCGCCCTCTGTCACACTCAAGGCAGGGTCGATGGGGAGGTTGCAGTGCCACCCCCTGTCATGCACAGAGCAGGTCCAATCAGGGGGTTGGGGCGCTGCCTCCTGTCACGCACAGAGCAGGGCCAATCAGGGGTTTGGGGAGCTCCCCCCTGTCACGCACAGAGCAGGGCCCATCAGGGGGTTGAGGAGCTCCCCCCGTCATTCACAGAGTAGGGCCGATAGGGGAGTTGGTGCACTGCCCCCTGTCACACACAGAGCAGGGCGGATCAGGGAGTTGGCATGCCGCCACTGTCACACTCAGGGCAGGGCCGATAGGGGAGTTGAGGCACCCCCCCCTGTCACACACAGAGCAGGGCCAATCAGGGGGTTGGGGCGCCACCACTGTCACACTCAGGGCAGGGCTGATGGGGTGGTTATGGCTCTACCCCGTCACACACAGAGCAGGGCCCATGGGGGGTGTGGGGGGGTTGGTGCACTGCCCTCTATCACCCACAGAGCAGGGCCGATCAGGGGGTTGGGGCACCGCCACTGTCACCCTCAGGGCAGGGCCGATGGGGAGGTTATGGCTCTACCCTGTCACACACAGAGCAGGGCTGATCAGGGGGTTTGGGCGCTGCCCCCTGTCACGCTGATCCCGGTGCCGGGAGGCATATTACCCTTTTACTATATAAGATAGAGGGCTGGTGCACGGGTGAGGGCTGGCTGGTTTGCCCTGAAGTGTGTCCTGGATCAGGGTGGGGGTCCCCACTGGGGTGCCTGGCCAGCCTGGGTGAAGGGATGATGGCTGTTTGCAGCTGGTCACACACCCTTCAGGGTGGGGGTCCCCACTGGGATGCCTGGCCAGTCTGGGTGAGGGGCTGAGGGCTGTTTTCAGGCTGTCGGGTGACTGAAGCTCCCAACTGCTCCTTTTTTTCTTTTTTTTATTCTGGGCCAGCTTTAGCTCTGGCTCCAGCTCTGAGGCCTCTCCTGCTGAAAGCAGGTATCTGGTTTGTTTGTGTTCTATAATCGAAACTCTGTATCAACTCCAGCTCTGAGATCCCAGCTTGCTGAAAGCAGGTTTCTGGGGTTTTGTTTAGCTTCTATATTTGTTACAATGTTTCAAACTGCCAGCTCAGAAGCCGGCAAGGCAGGCGGGGAACGTTGGAGTCCTCCGTCACTGAAGCAAGCAAGCCTCATTCATGTTCGCTTTAAGCTGCCTGGCTGCCGGCGGCCATCTTGGCTGGCAGTTATTTTGCATATCTCGCTGATTAGCCAATGGGATGGGTAGCGGTCATACGCCAATTGCCATGTTTCTCTATTATTAGATAGGCCGATTCTGTGACTGTTTTCACACATATATCTTTGAGTACTTATGTGACTATTCTAATTGGGTAAGTTGCTAAGAGTTAAATTACTGAGTCAAAGTATAGGTATATTAAGATTCTGATGAATATTGCTAAATTGTCCTTCAAAATTTGTACTGTTTTGCATTCCACTTTCTTTCCCTAAATGCCTATCTATACTATTTAATCTTTGCCAGTCTGATTGGGAAAATGTGGCTAATTTTTAATTTTATTATTAAATTTTAGCATCTTTATGTCTAAAATAGACATGACTTAGGAAAGCATACAAATCTGAAGTGTACAGCTCAATGATTTTTACATATGTATACATCTGAGCAACCACCATTCAGATCAAAGTATAAAACCTTCTCATTTCCTCAGAAAGTCCTCTCTTCCCCCTTCACCCACCTATCCCAAAGGTAATCATTCTGACTTCTGTCAACATTAATTCATTTTGCCTATTCTTGAATGTAGTATAAATGAAATCAAACTATTTTATGTCTTCCTTTGCTCAACCTAATATCTTCATTCATTCATATTGTTGTGTGTATCAGTTAATTCTTTTTTATTATTGCTTTGTATTACATTATATGAATATGCAATAGATTAGTAATCCATTCTCCTTTGATGGACACTTTAGTTGTTTCTAGTTCTTTTACAGTAATGAATAATGTTGCTATTACATTCTTGTATATGTCTTTCATTGGGCATACATACTCATTTCTTTTGGTCATACACCTAGAGTAGAATTGCTGAGTCATAGAGTAGGTATATGCTTAGCTTTAATAGACACTGCTTAATAGTTTTCTAAAGTTACACTCCCACCAGCAATGAATGAGAGTTCCACCTGCTTCCCATCCTTCCCAATACTCAGTGTTTTTAGTCTTTTACATTTTAGACTTTCTGGTAGATACATGATAGTTTCTTGTGGTTTTAATTTTTATTTTCCTGATGAATAATGATGTTAACCATCTTTCCATATGCTTATTAGCTATTTGGATAGTCTCTTTTGTGTGATACTTGTTCAAGCCTTTTGCCCGATCTTTAAATTTTTTCTGTGTGGTTTTTTAAAATTTTATCTGATTTGCATGAGTTATTTATACATTCTTTACCTATCTTTGTCATAGATAGATAGACAAAATATTATCCTAGTCTGTGACTTACCTGTTTACTCTCAAACATATTTTTAATAAAAGTTCTTAAATTTAAATTAAGTCCAATTATGTTTTTATTCTCTTATGGTTATTTTTTTCTGTTCTAGTTAAGAAATCTTTATCTACCCTAAGGTCAGGAAGGTGTTCCCCTATGTTTTCTTCTAGAAATTAAAATATTTCAATTTAACATTTACACTTCAGAGCAACCTTAAATGAATTTTTTAATATGTTGTCAAGGTAGGAAGTCAACTTTTTGAGGACTTTTTCCTATATGGATATACAATAGTTCTACCCTTATATGTTGGAAAAAAAACAACTTCCTTCCACAGAGTTGCACTGGCACCATAGGGAGAAAGTATTCAGTATTTCACCATTAAATGTGCCAGCTGTAGGGTTTTGTTCTTTTTTTTTTTTTTTGATACCTTTTTGTAAGATTAATAAAGTTCCCTTCTATTTTAAATTTGTTGAGAATTTTTTTCTGAAAGCATGTTATGTTTTATTAAATGCATTTTTCTGTGTCTATTGAGATCATTATATGGTTTTTCTCCTGTTTTTTTTTCTGTTCATGTACTGAATTACATTGATTATTTTAGAATGTTAAAACAAACTTGCATCCCTGGTATAAACCGTACTTGGTTATTATGTATTTTTATCTCTATATTCAATTTGCTAGTGTTTTATTTTGAAATTTTGCATCCATAGGCAGAAAGGACTTCGGTTTGGGCTCAGATTTATGTTAACCTCATAAAACAAGTAGGTAAGTGTTCCCTTTTTCACTAATCTCTGAAAGAATTTGAGAGAGAATATCATTATTTCTCCTTGAACATTTGCCAGAATTTCCCTTGAAAGGCACTTAGTCCTGGATTATTATTATTATAGGAATTTAACTATGTATCTATACATTCCATTTCCTTTTTTTTTTTTTAATGATTCCAAAGAGAAAGATAGAGAAGAAAGAGAGAGAGAGAGAAACATCGACGTG